GTCACTGCCAGGGACAAGGCAAGGATGGCCATTCGGTCAGTATTGGAGTTTTTAGGTAACCCTATCAAAATAGAAAAAATAAGAAGTGTAAGAACGGGAAAAGAATGAAACTATTTAGTTACAAACACTATGCTGGTAATCTAGAACCCAAGCTCATACTAAAGCTAGTACAAAATTAAAAAATAAGGAAGTAGACATTAGATTAATCTAAACACTGATTGCTTGCACAGATAGAAACAATAACCACTTGAGTTATATAATTTAAGAAATGGACTATTTAGAAATCTTAAGGGAAAAATGTGCTAAATTTATGTAAGGAAAAGGTTTAAAATATTCTTACATTCAGAAGGTAGACCTGAAATAGTTGAAAGATATTCCTTGTTTTGGAAAGAAAAACTCAAAACAAAAAATCACAAATTTCATTAAAGTTAATATGATTTCAATAAATATAATCTGAAATTACTGAAATTGTTTGATGGAGACAAATTAATCATAAAGTTCATATGGAAAAATACAAGTATTCTAAATTTAAAAAATCTAATGAGTTTAGGCTTGCCTTGCATGATATAACTATACCATAAACTTTCATAATTAAAAAATGCACAGTATGGACACGTGAATAGAGAGACCACTGGAACAGAATGTCAAATCCAGAAATAGGTCCAAGTACATATAGAATATAGGAAATGAAAACCATACCAACTTAAATAAGTTGAAAAAATGATGCATTTTTAAGAAACTATGTTCAAATTTTAGAACTTTAGAAAAAAAAAGACAAAATTAGACTCACAATTCATCCATACAAAAGAGAGATCCCTAAATACATCTGGCATCTAAATGTGAAAAATTAAACTGCACAAAAACTCAAGGAAAACTTGACTAACATTTATTTAAAACATGAGTGTAAGTTAAACCTTTCTAATCAGACTTTAGCTTTCTATTCATTAATAGAAAACATTTTTCTTTGTGGTCCTTATTGCTGAAGCTTTGGCCTGGTCTCACCAAACAGCAAAGTCCAGCAAAAGGTATCTGGGGTTGACTGGTGAAGTCAACTAAAGGACTAGCTAGAGTGTCCATTAGGATTGGGCAAAGCTGCTCACATGAGTGCAACCTACTACTGTGTAGTCTGGGATCTCAGTCCTTCAAATGGTTTCTCCCACAATCAGGCAGGGTTTTCTTCTCTCACTTAAGCTTCCCTGGGAAAGCCCTCGAAGGCACTCCTAGAGGTGTCTCCTATTGACAATGAAGATGCATTGAGGAATAAGTTTAGGCTGTTTAACATTATAGTATATTCTCTTCTGACTGATGTACCTATCATTTTTATAGTCTTAGTTGAAAACTACTTGTAGAGTCAATATCATGTGCTAGGGAATACAGAGAGACAAAGTCCTGGGTTTCCCAATATTACGATAGAGCCCATTTAGTGCCACAAATTTGTGTGTGAACAATAAATGGGAGAGCCTAAATGAGTTGGCAACTTGAGGTAAGGCTTCTCAGGATCAGCTGTTTATGGGTCCAGTTATAACGTACGAGTACCATAGCTAGAAAAATAAGAGGCTGGGAAGGAAGGTCACTTAGGCAGTCAGGACATGAAATACCAAGTTCAGCTGCATGAAGTACAGGATGCCCTGATGACTCACAAATATATAACAATATACAGATTAGTATTTTGATATTTTGTTTGTTGTAGCTGGGGCTATCAGGCAGGAAGTCAGTTCAAATAGGAGCTAGCTCATGACGCAAGGCAAATTACCACTTTATTTCTCTATGTCCTGTTTACCCACTCTTCAAGATGAAAGTACTGACCTGCTCCACAGAGTATCATCTAATTGATACTTAGAGATGCTGTGAAAACATCGAGCCCCTTTCAAGCATGAAACAGCCTCATAACTTTCTTGTGAGCCTTGCTGATGAAAGACAATATGGTTTTTAAATCTTCAGGCTTGAAGAGGATATTTGTTCTCTTCCTTTTGTGTGAAAGAAAATTTTGCTGAAGTGTCTTTAATGATCTCAGTCCGAAGTGGATGGAAAATGTCTGATGGCCCTGCGAGAAGAACTTCACAGGAGACAGGGAACTCCAGGGAGAACAAGCACAGAGACATCTTATTGCACTCTTTCAAACTTAAATGCCTTTCATAACAGTGCGGATGGCATCTGGAAAGACCAGACAGGAAACCAGAGTCAGTGGGCATGTCCATTTCATTATTGCATGCAATTAGTCCCATTTGAAAATACCTTAGTTTTATTTTTAATTATGTATAAGTGTGTGTGTGTGTGTGTGTGTGTGTGTGTGTGTGTGTGTGTGTGTCTGTGAGTGCAGGTGCCCATGAGTCCAGAAGAAGGCATCAAGTTCCCTAGAGCTGGAGTCACACTGACTGTTGTGAGTCACCTGACAGGAATGTTGGAAACCAAATTCAGGTTTGGTACACACTCTTGATTGCTGACTCAATTCTCCAGGCCTCTGAGTCACATTTTTAATAGTCCAGTCACAGACACACCTGTTGTGTAGTAATGAGACGGACGGTAGATGCTATTTATAGAACACTTACCATGTGCCCAGCACTAGGCTAGCATTTAAATTTTATGATGTCATCTAATCTTCAAATGTATGACTGATAAGAGATGTATCCATGAGCGTACATGGTAACTACTTCTTTAATTGAAATGTGGCAGAACGTAATTGTATATTTTCCTTACATTCCCTGCACAGTTGTCTTATTGGTTCTATGAAGACTGAAGATTTCATTTAATCATGCTGTATTGACATGTAATTTATTTACTTATCACCCATTCCCTATAGAAAATAGCCTTTGTTTGCTACAGATTAACTTATTACCCATAAGTTATAACAGAAAACTAGTCTAATATTTAGTAGATGTTATCAAGAGTCAGAAATTACCAGAATGAGAAAATAAACAGGGAAAAGGTAAGGCCCAATGTTCAGCATCTGTATCAGTTCAAATAGCAGTCAACCAAAAGTCAGAAATGGGTTGCAAAAGACAGTAATGGGGAATAGAAAGAAAAATAAATCTTAAAAAAGGAAAAGATTTGTGTTGAATTTAAATAGTGACACTGGGTAGAGGAAGAAAAACAAACACTGGAGGTCAGTAACCAACCATGCAACAACCCAAATGCTAGAATCTAGGACTTAAGTGAAATCCTGATTTGTTTTCTTTCCTTTTTTTCTTTTCCTTTTGGTGTGTAAGTTCACATGCATAGGTGTAGAGGACAGAAAACCAGCCTTAGGTGCTATGTCTCAGTAGCCACCCACCTTATATTTTGTGACAGGATCTCTCATTGCTCTGGAGTCCACCTATTAGGCACGGCTGGCTGGCTACCAAGTCTAGGGATTTGCAGGCAAGCACTTTACTAATTACATCAACCCCAGCCCTGAGATCCCAGATTGTCTAACCCACAGCCTTCCTGGCATCTTTCAGCTTTGTGACGATGCTGGCTATGTGCTCCATGCTTTGTTACTGCCATAGACTGGGTAAGATGACCAGAATTCTTACAAAGCATCCCAGAAGGAGGTTTGGGGTTTTTCTTTTTCTTGGTTTTGTTTTGTTTTCAGATTTATGGCTGAAAAGAATTGTTAGGATGACCGTAGAGGCCTGGAAACAGCATTATTTGGCACCTGGTCTGCTCTGGAGGATTTGTGAATTCAAATTCCAACCTCATTGCTCATTGACTGTGTGCTCCTTTGGGAAATTACTCAAACTCTGTGCACAGGTTTTGTTATCTGTATGATGGAAACAATAATCATATCTTTCTCAGGGAACTTATAAAAAAAGATGAAGTGACAAAGAACTGTAAGTGTGTGTAATACTGCCTCTCACACAAGGCGAATCCACGTCAGGTTGTAATATTTCATCATAAATGGCAGGAAACTGTTAGGATCAGATATGGTGCCTAAAAGTCAGCAGGATAAGGGAGGATGAGACCCTGTAAGATAGACAAACAGCTTAGTGGAGAGGACATGAAGACGCACTTGTAGGCAAGCCAACTTACTGAATGCTGCACACTAGAAAGTATAAGCAGTAAACGAATGCAGTCTAAGCACTCAGAAATGGCTAGGGGTCAGGAGGAAGCCTGGCTTGCTTCTGTTCTGCTGAGGTTGGAGGCAGTGATGCCCTTCCCCTATAATGAGATTGATGACTACTGTGGTTGCAATCTTAGAGCCTTCATCCAGTAGCTGATCGAAGCAAAGTAGACACCCACAGCTAAACATTGAGCCATACTCCTGGAATCCAGTTGCCAAGGAATGAGCAAAGGAGCCAAGATGGTTGGAGAAACCTACAGAACAGCTGACCTGACCTAGTGAGAGCATGGAGACCCTAGTCTTAAAACTGGGGAACCAGCTTTGGACCAAAGGGTTCCTGGGCAGTCTATGGGACCTCTAACAGTGGAGCCAGTGTTTATCCCTAGTGCACAAATGGACTTTGGTAGCCCCTTCCCTATGGAGGGATACTGTTGCAGCCCAGATGCATGAGAGAGGGCCTAGGCCCTCCCCCAAATGATGTGACAGACTTTGATGATCCCCCGTGGAAGGCCTCACTATCTTTGGGGAGTGAGTGGGGGGCGGTGGGTTGAGGGAGTCATGGGAGGATGGGAGGGCAAGGGAATGGGGGATTGATATGTAAAGTGAGATTGTTTCTAAAATTAATAAAAAAAGTATCACAGAAGACGAATACAATGGAAGTATACTTGGGGAAAGCTTAGGAGAAATGGAGGCAAGCTATAAAAGAAAGACATGTCACGTGTCTTCTCAAATAGAGAAGACAGATTTAAACAAATGACGTGAGAACAAAGTGGGGGGTGCTATTTGAGGTGAAGAAGGGGGGGGAAACAGGGGTGGGGTGGAGAGGCAAGCCAGGGTAAGGAGGATGAATAAGTGCAAACTACAATGATTTACAAGTATGGAATTTCCAGAATTAAGCCCACTAGTTTGTATTCTAACTAAAACAAAGGGGTGGGGCAGCTTAAGCCTGACAAAACTCTGTCCTCAGTGATCTGTCCTCACCGATCTATGAAGATAGTCATGGAGATGAGGGGAAGGAATGGCAAGAGAGTTTTATGGTAGAGAATGGGCCTAACGAGTCTGGGTGGAGACATTAGAATGAGGAAGTAGCGAAGTAGGAAGACGGAAAGGCCACCATATGAGGCTTGATTGCCAAACCAAACCACCATATTCCTAGAGAAAGGTGAGGAGGGGGCCATGAGACAAGCGGGAGGTAAGATGCAGAAAGATTTCCACACTGTGATGTGTTAAAAATTTGGGGTGGAAATGAAGCTATTAACTGTTTTATTTATTAAGCCACGTGGGTTTTGTTCTGGTCACTATGTTAATTTCCGGGCTTAGCTAAGGGTAGGTTTTCAGAGAAACCTAGATAAAGGAGTGAGATCTCAACTGTCCAGACCTTAACACTTCATTAAAACTGACTGGTTCATTCAGGTTTGGGCAGCCGTCCTATCATAGCAGAGAGGCCTCTGGCTCTGGTGTGTGATTGTGAGAAAGCAAAACTAAGAGGCTATCGTTGGAAGAGTGGGGCTGAAAATATTTTTGCTCCAGGGATTGATAACATGAAACAGTCTAAATAACTTGAACTTTGATGTAGTGGCTTCATTTGCTAATGTTCAAACATTTCCCCAGAGATTATTGTTATAAACATAACCAATAAATAATAGCATTTTGATTCTCATAGTCTTGTATGCCTCCTACTTTTGGTAGAACTTCAACCTATAGAGACTTAGCTTTTATGGATAAAGGACAAGTGGACTCTACAGTGAAGGGCTTGTGTGTCCATGACTAATATGAGACACCAGGCTGACAGCTGCTCTTGATACTTTGTATTGAGCTGAATTCCAGTCTGGTCTCTAGGTGGCAGTTGACTCCATCACTTAGGTTCTTTAAACAAGCAATAGATTCATTCACAGTTTTTTCATGAATGCATAATTTTGTGTCAAAATTAATTCCTGGCTCTCAGGATCTGTTAAAAATAGGTTTGATTTTTCAGAATAAAATTGTGGCTTGAGGTACAGGTTTTCCATGTATCTTGTCGTTCTTGGTTTCATCAACTTGATAGGATAAAGCAGAAGAGAACAGATAAAGATGAATGTTTTAGCCATCATTTTTGAAGAATGTAATCCGCTTAAGCATGGCACTAGTTCTCTGTCAAAGCTCTGCTTCCATCATGCAAAAGAGAATTTAGTCTGAATGATTCCTCTTTGAATGTGTAATGTTCACAAATACTGAGCCCATGCAGAACTCTTTGCTTTTTGAGACTGCTTAGGATATAGATTTAATTGCAGGAAAACTGCTCTACAAACAAACAAACAAACCAAAGAGGAAACCGAAAAATGACCTGTGATTCTTTGTATTATTTTTTATTTTTGTAGATAGCCAAAGTTAGAGCTTAGGTAGTAAAGATAGAGTTCTGCTGTGCCATTCAGAACAATGCTCCCAAACAGCACTCACATCTGATCACTTGTATAGTATGTGCTGGTTTATTTTTATAAGGGACTTAAAAATAGGATATGCAAGAAGATATCTCTTTAGCACACGTAGGAGAAAATGCAGGTCTGACCTGGAGGCCAGCCTGCCTGACACCCTGGGCTTCTAGGATTTGCTTTGTTCTTTTTGTTGTCATGTTTGTTTGTTTGTTTGTTTGTTTGTTTGTTTTTTGAGACAGGGTTTCTCTCTGTAACCCTGGCTGTACTACAGCTAGCTCTGTAGACCAGGCTGCCTAGAACTCACAGAGATCCACCTGCCTCAAGGCATGCATCATCTCTTTCTGGCCACACTGCACTTCTAAATGGCACACCCTGCTCCTGAGTATTCCCAGAAATCACAAATCAGATTCTGAAATAGCCCAAGTAGCCAGTAATTGGCCTGCTGGCGAGTCTGGCCACCTGATGAGTCTCCTTTTAGGTACTTCTTCGTGTTTGTCTGGCATAGAGACCCTGGTAAGCACTCACTTTCCAATCCCAGGTAAGGTGCTAACCTATCACAGACCATAGGCTCCCACTGTGTAAGTAGCTGCTCACTTGCAACAAAGGATATGCTATTTCCTGAAACTAGAGTGGTTTATCTCCGCACCTTTTACTGACCCATTGGCATTGTGGTCTTGTGTGTGGGTGTGGGTGCCCCAATAATGACAGCAAACACCTCTCACGAAATTTTCACTTCAGAATTTTTCCAGTTTAGTATCAGCAGAAGAAAAAAAATGCATAAAGGATTTAAACGTCACCTTAAAGATAGGAGTTCTTTAAAAGAAAGATAAAAATACAGTGTTTTTGAATGAGAAATAAGATTATGTTGAGCACAGTGCCTGGCATAGAGCATCCTGCACACGAGTTTTTCTTATTCCTGCTGTTCTGTATTTTATAAATAAATGGTTCAGTTAGAATCTCAAAGAGCCTGGCTAATGTGTCAGCCTCCTGGGGAGCTTTTCTTTGGAAGCTGCATGTTTAGGCTTGTCCTCTTCTTATGCTCTCCTCTGTGTAAAAGGAACACTCAGAAGCTTTGTGTACCATCATTTGAGTGAAGAGGCATCCTACAGAAGGAGAAAAAAAAATGTTCACCAGCAATACATCTCTCAGAGGATAGTACCTGGAATATACAAAAAGCAAACAAAAACCTAAGAAAACCCTATCCATCATGAAAACAACCCAATTTTAAAATGGGGTATGGAACTAAACAGAAAGTACTCAACAGCAAACACAAGTGGTTGAGAAACACTTTTTAAAATGTTCAGCATTCTTAGCCAGTGAAATGCAACTTAAAACTACTTTGAGATTTCATCTTCCCCAGATACTGTCAAGGATGCAGGAAAGGGGAACACATATACGCTGCTGGTGGGAGTGCAAACTCTTGTAGCCACTATGAAAATCAATGAGAAGAGTCCTCAAAAAGTTGAAAACAGATCTATCATAAGATCAAGCTATACCACTCTTAGGCATATACCCATAAGAACTATATCCATGTCCATTGCTGGTCTATTCACAATATACAGAAAATGGAAATAACCTAGATGCCCATCAACTGAAGACTAGATAGAGAAAATGTGGTACATTTACATAATGGAATATTATTCAGCTATTAAGAAAATGGCATTATAAAAATTACAGACAAATTAATGGAGCTGAGAAACTGTCATCCTGAGTGAAGTAATCCAATCCTAGAAAGATAAACATTACATGCTTTCTCTTATTTGTGGATGTTAGTTTCAAGTCTTCGGTATTCAAGAAGTTAGTAAGAGGCTGTGTATGTGGGGACTTGTGAGAAGTGAGATCGAACACACTTGTATAAAAGGTTAAAGAGGAATAAAAGAACAAGAAGGAATAAACGGACAGGGTAAAGTAGGAAGGAACTACAATGAGGGATAACTAACATTGAAGACATTTCTAAAAAGGCATATAGAAATTATATATATATATATATATATTATTGTTTAAATGGAGTTAGCCTATAATGAGATAATAATGCTCCTACTAGATACAACAGGCTAACGAATAACTAAACCGGTGCCAGGAATTGGTTACCTCTTTTGGAGTTGTTGGCTATTGAGGGCCTCTAGGTTCTTCCAAAACTATAGGCTGTTGTCAGTGTCCTTTGTTACTTTCCAGACTTCATGATGAGACCCTATTGCTGAAGACACCTCGTACTTGTATCCTAGAACCCAGAGAAATCAAAGCCTATGCACCTAGAAGCTTCAACTTACTGGCTAGCTTTTGTAATACTGGAAAGTGCTATGCATGCCACCAGAGGAGAAAAGTAATCACTACTCTTACCTAGCTGTGAAGTCTGCAAGCTACAACAATGACCGGCCTTGCAAGACAAGTCTACTAGTGCAATAGTGCTATGAATGTTGTGGGAATGACTAATCACTTATTGATTAGAGGTAAGTCCCTCTCTTTAAGTTGATCCCCTTATCTGCTACCAATTTGGGGGCCATGAATTTGTGGCTAGACAGATCACACGCCATATGGGAGGGCCTACTATTATTACTCTGCTAAATGGGCACAAGATTAAGCCAAGTCTTAATGACTTTTGTACTCATAGATCAGCATATCTATACAACTGCATCAGAGGAACTTATATTTGCAGTAAATGGATATTAACACAGAAACCCATAACTAACAAAGGGGCAGAGAATGAGAGTCTATCCAATGCTCATTATCAAGTGGGACATGTTTATCACGTGATTTCTTACAAAGGCTCAGGAATCATTTTAGAAGAGGGTGCAGAAAGATTGTAAGAGCCGGAGGCAAAGGATGATTACAAGAAAACAGTGTTTTCTGGGCTTGGCAGGCCATATGAACATATGAACAAATTCACAGCACACAGACAGCAGGCATAAGAACTACAAAAGTAAGCTCAAGATAGACAAATGCTGACGTAGAAATAAGAGGTGGGCATCATGTTCCCATCTATTGTGTAATATTTTGATTTTGTTCCAACAAATAAAGCTTGCTTGGCGTCTCAGGGTGGAGGTAGCTACTAGCTGGCCAAAATCAACCATGAAGGTTTGGAGGACTGTAAAAAGTTAGGAGACAGGAGGTAGGAAGGCACAGCTGAGAGAGGATGGCAGCCCTTTTGGAGGAAGGAGCAGGAGAGATAGGAGGCCACTGGTGGCTGCTCCCCTGTAGGCTGTTGTCAGTGATCCTCTCTGAACTTTGAGGTTCTTACCCTGATATCTGACTCTGATTTTTTTTTTCTAATTGGTAAAGAATAGATAGCCACTTCACCTGGCACCTCATGTACCAGGCCATTTGTAGGTGGAAGTATCCTGTCCCAACTGCCTGCTCCCAATTAACCAATAAAGAGACTTAATGTTAATTGTAAATGCTCAGCCAATGGCTCAGATTTATTACTAGCTACCTCTTACAACTTATATTGAATTTACTTTAATTCAAAAAGTAACTATTAATCTTAGTATTTTACATTGGTATGGATTTTATTTATTGACACAAAATTTCATTTTGTTATACTGTATGTACATTTCTACTCTTGTTTCAGGTATGTTTATGCAGCTCATTCAAAAATTTAATGAATAATCAAGAAATACAGATTAATAGTCATCTATAATAGTCAAACTTATAGTCATGTTAGGTATGTTTTCAAGGGCATACACAGATATATGTTGATAGATGGTCTTCAAACACTTAAAGACCTAGAGAATATGGCATTTAATATGTTTGATAACCTAAGGCTTTTCATGACAATGAGACATGTCTGCTCCTAGCTGTACCACTCTACTTCAGAGAAGATGATGGGCATCAAAAAAACTCCATGTAGAGTTTGCTTTCTTTATGGAAAAAGCTAACCATTTGGGCAAAGAAACTGTCCTGGCCTCAGTTACTGACAGTATACTGTTCAAACTGGACCAGCAGGATGCAGAAGAGAGTGACTGCCAAACTTTGCCAAAACAAGCAAGGAAATCCTTCAAAATCCCCTTTCTGCTTCCCTTCTTCTTAGGGATATTAGCTATCTCTTAATAATCACCGTCCTCCAACTGTCCAATACCCGTGTTCCCTAGGAAATCTTACAGTGAATGACAACTCCCTCAGCAGTACCTTTCAAGGGTCTTTGATCATTCCTGACTGCAGACTCCCCAACTCTGGACCAATTTCACAATTTTTCTGTTGCTGTTCTTTTCCTCTAGTTAAAACCAGAGCTGCAAACTATTTCCTGATTGTGTTGCATGAGCCCATTCCAAATGTCTCATTTGGCCAGTCAATACTGTTTTGTGTCTAAATTTTTTAAAATTTGCTTTTTATTTATTTGTGTGTGTGTGTGTGTGTGTAGCTACATGTGTTTATGAATGTGCATGTTCCTGTGGAGGCTAGAGTTTGCTTTAAGGTTATAAGTCTTGTCAACACAGTTCATCAAGAACATCTATATTTTTAATGTCTCTCTACTTGCTCTTTTTTCATGGGTTCTGAAGGTCAAATCCTCAGATTTGATTCAGTCAGTTCAGTCAAACAATCATTTAGGTGGCGCCTCCTTTCAAGAACTTTTACCGCCAACCTTTGTGGAAGAGTGTATACCGTTTCTCATCTCAATCCTTGTGATTGTGAGATCCATGAGGCTAGAGCACATATCTATTTTGTTTGCTGCTCTACTGACTCAGCCTTCCATCAGACATAATAATGCCAATAGGCATTTGTTAAAATCCGGCTAAGTTATTGAAGAGATGCATGAATGTGTAGGATAAGAATAGTTTTGAGGGGCTGGAGAGATGGCTCAGTGGTTAAGAGCACTGGCTGCTCTTTTTGAGGACTGGGTTCAATTACCAGCACCAACATGGCAATTCACACTTGTCTGTAACTCCAGTTGCAGGGCTTTTGATGCCTTCACACAGATATACATGCAGGCAAAACTCCAATGAACATAAAATAAAAATAAGTCATACATGATTTTTATCAAGATGCTTTTAAAAGCTTCAGTAGTCCTGCTTCATATAAACCAAAACTTACTGTTCCTTCATATTGTCTCTCCTTTGTGTGTACATACACAGCAACCACAAGGTAAAACTTTTATACAAACAAGCATCATTTACATAATGTACTGATAAAAATATTTACATTTGCTGCCAGTATCCTTTGAAGTATTTCCTCTGGAATGGAAGCTCACCTTCTCTTGGGATGAAATCTAGGGTAGGATAATTCTCTGCTAATTTTTTGGTGACTAGCTTTGTCATAGTCCTGGACTCCTTGAGCTCACCTGAAGTCTGCAGAAATTATGCTGTCCTGAAGAGATGTGTCACATTCCATCACAGTGATGAAATTCCTGTTATATGTCAACATGATGGAGGAAACTTTATTTGGGCTTATCCTTTCAAGAGTTTCAATCCATGGTTATAGATGATTACAAAGTGGAGTCAGAGATAGGTTGATAACCCGTAGTTTATTGGGGAAAAATACTCACTCAAGGGAGTCAGTGACCAGGTTTGCACCTGAGCAGAATGGACCCAGAAATGCTTCCCAGTCAGCTCAGCCAGGCAAAAAGAGAGACACATGCTCGCCTCCCTGCTTCTTAAACCCCTTGGCCACACCCAAGCGGGTGTGGTCAGTGGTACCTCTAATCAGAGTTTCTCCCTACACATGGTGGCTGACTCCACTGCTTTCAGGAGTTTGACAGGCACAGCATGGCAGTGGGAAGCATGTGATAGAGGACCACTGTCCACCTCATGGTGGCTAGGAAGCAAACAGAGAAAGGAGGGTCCTGGGTCCCAACGTCCTTCCCTAGGGTATACTTCCAGTGATCTACTTCTGTCCCAGTAGGCCTCATCTATTTATGCTTTCACCACTTTACAATTGCACTCCAGGCTGGCAACAATTTCAGACACTTTTCCTGCCCCTTTCTTTAACACTGGTGGGCTTTTGTGAACACCTTGAACTTGTATGCCTCTGGGGAATGTTCAAGAGTCAAACCATAGTAGGAAGAATTTAGACCAATTCTGTGTTTATGTGTGTGACCTATGTTTGTTTGCCAATATGATAAATATATTCAAGTTAAATTCAACTGTCATATAAATGATATATAAAGTTGATACACATATATGCATATATAAATTCCATGTTGTCATATTCTAGTTTCCTTGTTACTTCTCGGATTCCCTCATACTAAGCCTTGTTTCTTTCTCTTGGCCCAGTGTTTCTGAATTCATGTCTTTTAATGTGGATTTCTCTGCTAGACAGTTTTTAATTGTCTCTCTTGCTCTGTGCATGCAAGTCTATCAGCCAGTTCCAATCTGTGGACGCAGATCATCCTTGAAGGGAAGGGTGCAATTTCTACCCACTTGGGAGTGCTTTAGAGGAAGACATCACATCCTCTCATTCTCTGAAAATGAAACTATCCTCCTGGCATCCTAACATGGCTCTTATCTTACACATGTTCCTTAAGATCCAGCAGAATACAGAATCCTACGCTGTTAAGCCACATATTTTGAGTATGAAGTGTTAGACAAGTGAAATATTAGGTTGAACCTATATAATAAAAAATCTGATTGTACACTCCATCGCCTCTACATGGGAATGTCACAGATTCAGTTGAAATTTGCAGTAATCAAACTCTTGAGAGTTTCAATTTTACAGTTGTAGGCAGTTCTGCCCGCCCATTCCCATAACACCCACTGGTGGGCTTTCTTGTTACTCATTGATCTTGCCTGCCCCCATCTATTTGACCCTCCTGTCATTCACTTTTTGGCATGAGTAGCTTGGCCTCTGTTTGTGCCTAAGTTCATTATATGGCAGCTGTTTGCATTACCATCTCATTATGTCACTGAGGGGGTGAGGTTTCCATGGTGATGCCGAACTGCATAAATAGAGATTTTACTACATTGAGATTTTATCTCTTTGGAGTAGCAGTTCTAGGGGAGTTGGGCTAGAACCTTCCCAACAGGAAAAGAGCTTGTAGATCTCCCTTCTGTTTCCTGGGTCTGTGATTTATTTGGTGAAGGTATCCTGTCATTATAAATTCTTCAAAGATAGAAGATGATAAAGAAAACCAATAATTGTTTCTTTATATTTAGTTGCTTTTCTGTTATGTACATGGAAATTTCTAGAATAGCATTGCATAGGAAAATGATTGGACCTATTTCTTTTTAAAATTGTTCCACCAGAAAAAGAGACGTTGTATCCCAGGGAAAATTCTGGATAGGAATTAGCTGAACCACTAATGTAATTATTGCTTATGCTTGGTGACTTTCTAAGTTGTCATTGCCTGGGGAAACAAGGGTCATAACAGCATTCAAATGATTAGATCGCACTTTCTCCTCTCACGAATGACTGATACTCAATTTTTATTAATTGCTTTGTGCTTAATCCTGCATGTGCAGGGGGATTTTGTTAATAAATTTTCCCTGGTGGTAAGCCTTCATTAATTTGATCTTCTCCA